AAAGAAAAGGCGTCTCAAGGCAAGTAAATTAAAGTAAAAGTGGAAGTAGTTCTCTGGAAGACCAATATAGGCTAAAGCCTCAACTAGAAAACTAGGATCAACATTATCGAACGCCGACTTGATGTCAAGGAACACTACTAGGGTAAATTTTCTTTCAGCAAATCCTATTAGAATGCGTGGAGTTAAGATTGACAGATTGTCTGCACAAGATCTCCTTCTACGAAACCCATATTGTGAGCAGGGGAGAAAATGGAAGTTCTCTAACCACCAATTCACTCGATTGACAACGATTCTCTCTATGAGTTTTAATAGGCACGATGCCAAACATATAGGACGATATTTGCCTTTTTCAGATTTAGGAAGCAAGAAGACAATAAAATCGTTCCACGAAGGAGGGAGGGTATGTGATTGAAAAAGGCAATTGTAAATGTGGAGGAGGTGGTCCTTGTAAGATTCCGGAAGTTTACCAATCAGTTTGTAATCAATGCCATCAAGGCCGGGGGATGAATTTTTTTTGCTATTATCAAGAGCGATTTTGAATTCAGACTTAGAAAAGGGACTATTGAGAGAATCAACAGGAATGGAAGTAGAAGAGAATTGAATATGAGTAGGAAAGACTGGAGGCAATGCGGATGGATCAATAGGAGGACACATATTGTCCACAAGTCTCAATTGTAATTCTTGCTGTTCCAAGTCTCCCGATGAAGGAAGAGCCACCAAGGCACAACGTCTGTGTTTAAATGCTTTAAGTTTCTTCCAAATAACAGAGATGGGTGTAGAGCGGTTCAGAGATTTACAAAAGCTAGCCCAGCCATCACGTTTAGCTTTATCAAAACAACGTCGAGCTTTTGCCTCACGGCGTTTCATGTTGTCGTATGCAACCCAAGTGGGATCGTGTAAGTAGACGGAGTAAGATTGAGATCTAAGATCCGAAATATTTGAGCATTCCCCATTCCACCACGGAGAGGGGGATGCTAATTCACCCTCAGGAACTAAAAAAGATTCATAGTTTTCGAGAGAGAGATAGAACTTGCTCCAATCAAATTTTTTAAAGTTTATTTTGTGAGAGAAGAAGGACTGAGTATTCACCAAAGTGCCAACACTAATATCAATGGGAACGTAATCACTTTCCATTCGATTCACTAAGGTTTTCCATGAGCTAAGAGCAAATAAATTTGGTGAGATCAAGGAAAGGTCAATTGCGGAAGACTCTTGGTTAGGACGCGGGCACCAAGTAGGACTTCCGTCATTGAGTAGCAAAAAGTCAGAATCTTCTAGAGCATTGGCTAGAGAAACACCACCAGAGCAGGTCGATGCACAGCCCCAGCTGAAATGATGACAATTGAAGTCGCCCCCTACACATTTACCGGAGAATCCTACCATTGACTCAAAGAGACATGTCCATTGTGCACTGCTAATCGTTGTATTATAAGCCTTGTATACATTGACAATAAGTAGATTACCTTTAGACAATTGAAGAGAAACCGCTAAGGTGTCGAGGAAATTTGGAACGGAGACGATACAGTCAATGCGCTGATAAGGCAGGTGGCATGCGATAGCAGTAACTAGACCACCACCACGTCTACCACACCGGTCCAATCTAACGATGTTAAAACCTCTGATTGAAAAATTAGTGAAAGGTGTCAACCATGATTCAGAAATTAGGATGATGTCATACCCAAAGGCTATTTGAGCAAGATCACCAGATTTGTTAGAAATGCCTCTGGCATTCCACTGCAATATTCTTAATTGTGACATGGAGGCCATAGTTAAAGACTAGTGGGTCTGTGATAGATAGGAATTAAGCTCATTACACTTAGTGAGTAATTCATCGAAAGGGAAGTTGACATTCAACATTTGTAGAAGAGGGGCAAGAGCATTTGAGAGAATAGACAGAAATTCAGATAGCTGACTCACGAAATTGCTTAGAGAGGGAGGGGGTAAAGACGATTGAGAGTTTACACTGCTGGACATAAGAGGGCTCGAGGGAATTGGTGGAGAGGAAAGTGAAGGCATAGAGGGAAGGGACGGTGAACTAGATGAAGGAACAAAATTTTTGAAAAGAGAGGCCTCACCACAAGAGGGGATGCGTCCATTTGGGGTAATAAGGGCATTCCTGTGTGCTTCCTGGAGAGTTTTTTGGTTATTACTAACCAGCTGGGTTGCATCCTTTCTAATTTCCCTTAAGCCGGGCCTAAAGGAAGTTGAGGTGTTTTCATTCTTGCTAATATGAGCCATAGTGAGAGGAGAGGAACTAACAATCTTACTGTAAGATTGCATAAGATTAGGGCGAGTAGCAGAGACATTTGGAGAGGATTGCTCAGAAGCTGTAACGTTACCCAAACGAGGAAAATCAACAAAGTTGGGGGTAGTGGAAGAAGAAGTCCCTGACGTAACATTAGGAGACAACAAACGTTTAGCTTCAACATGTGAAATGCACCTTTCAGAAGTCATTTTGTGGATCTTCTGTTGAAGGATGAACTCTGAGCATCTTTTATGCTTAGAGGAGTGCTTGCCCTTACAATGCACGCACCTAGGGGGACCATCCAGCTTATTACACATGGAGAATGCATGCCCCGTCTCACCACAGTGTTCACACCTGCGCTTGCTGCGACAGATACTAGAACCATGCCCAAAGCGAAGACAGCGATCACACATCCTTACCATTGAAGAGTAAGGATGGACTTCAAATTTTATAAGGTAAAAAATTACATGGGAGGGACGAGATAGACCATCAAATGTGAGTAAGATAGAGCAAGAGGGGACTTTAATCCTGTCGCCTTTATCGTTTTTCTCATACTTATGGAGTCTAGCTATATCCAGGATAGGAACCTCGGATTTAATGTTTGAACGAATTTCTTCGTCGGTAAACTCTTGGGTAATACCCCGAATAACCACCCGATTATATAGTCTATAGGAGGGGATAAAGGCATTAAAGCTTTTTGCCACAAGAGTAGGGTGATTCACTAGAAAGTTAGCCGTAGCTCTGGTTTCTAGAGTGATGGACACGTGCATGCCTACTTTTCCAATAGCAAGCATGTCGTCACCATGATTGGCTTTGATGAGAATCTGGTGTACAAGCTTACTTACTGTAAGCGGGTGGGGGCCTCGGTTCTTATTTGGTTCAGAGGCCGGATTACTATCATTAGCAAGAGAAGTGATGCCATTATTTACTACGTCAGTCTTTTTGTAATTCACTAATATTTCATAAGGACCAGGATTATATACACTGTAAAAATTAGGAGAAGGTTGAGTCCTAGCGACCTGTCTAGGCTTGTCAGAGGAGGAAGTTTTTTTAGATGGATTAAAATCACGAGATGGATCGTCAGGGGTACGCCTTTTTATCTCACCAAGAACCAGATTCCGTAATCGAGGATCTAGAATATCGGATGTTGGTGAACAAGAGATACCATTTACCAAAGGAGAAGGACTAGGGTTAGCAACAGTGTCAGGAGGAGGTAAGGTAGAAATTGCAACACCCGGAGAAGGTAAAGTAGAGATTGCAACACCCGGCAAAGAAGAACAGAAAGTGTCTAAGTAGTTTTGCTCTTCGATATGCATTGCTGTTTGACTGAGAGCTTCATCAAGAGAGACGGAATCATTATTAAGAGCATCATTATGCTGCATAGAATTATTATTTACTACCAAAGGGGAAGGCGAGTCTCTGACTTCTACCTCACACCCATACTCAATAGCATTGAGTTCTACGTCTTCCTGCGCTGCCATTGTGACGTAGCTAGACTGTTGGGAAGGGGAAGGGGGGGGGGAAGAAAGCAGCATAGCTGCTTTTTTTATCAATTTTAGCCAAACTCAGTCTTTTTTTCTCGCCAATTGATTTCGAAAAGCAATAATTGTTATAAAACTCAATGTCTCAAAAGAGTACAAGTCACTTATAACAGATATATAATCACTTTATATTAAAAACACATAAGCACGAAAAACTGTCACTGTCCACAGTTCCGCCATCTTCACGCCGACCGTTGCTGCTATCAAAAGATACGGTAGTGTCTCGTGCGCCAAGCATAAATCGCCGCCATTTTGCCCTTACGTCACGACGAGGCACTGCCGTGTCTCTATACAAATGAAATGATAATTTTTGCAGGCTATATTTTTTAGAATTAGAATATTTTATTCTAACATGAACATTGGCTGAAATCAAGAATTTGCAAGGCAAGAAAATGTTAGCTTTCGATCGAGCATACTATCAAATATCATTATTGCTTCATTCATAATATACGAAATTGAATGAATTTCGCTGCGCAAAAATGGAGTAAAATGAGAGTTTATTCATGGAGCAATGATATATGTTTTTTTTATCAAGTTGGTGATCAAAGTTTTTTATTGCTATGAAAACATCCAAATACATATGATATACACATTGCTCATTTAATAAGTACAATTGTCAATTGTTTATAACAAGTTCATATTGTTATAAATAATTCATGTTTAATGAAAGTTATATTCAGTTGTGAACAATAATGTCTAATCAGTATCGACTCAATTGGCGTTCAATGATTTTAGGAGTTTTTGTAATTTCATCATTGACGTTATTTATGTTTCGCGCACATTTTTGTACAGCCCAGTAGGAGAGGGCTTTTTCTGATGAGATCGTGTCTTACACTTTTGATAGTTTGTCAATTCAATTTTACGTTCATAATTTACGTCACGATTGTCATATACCATATTCACAAGTTGCTCACAGCTAGGTGGCATGTTCACATCACCTTTTCTCATTATGTCATTATATCTCACTCACAACACGTCGTGATTTAGATGCGCTTCCTATCAAATCCGATTCTACAGGTTATAAATTGTATTTTATTAATTTCAATTGAAATAATCGAATTTAAACTTTTTTTAGAACCAATTGGATTCTATTGAATATTTGAATTTGACTGAATTGAAAATTTCCGATGAAGAATTCCAGCTGGAAGATATATTCTAATTACAATGTTCAACTAAAGTTCGCTTAATATATTTTCGCATATAATCTGTTACAGTTATTCATTCAATTATCATGGGGTCCAGAGATAAAAATACCTTTGAATTTTGAGCTTCCATTGATATCTCAGTTAAAAGTTTACACTATTGGGAAAAAGAAATATTTGCAAATCGCAGTCACTGGAGTAACCAATTTTTTTTTACAATTGTTCGAACCAAAATTATCGACCAATGCATTGACAAAAATATCTCTAAAAAGTCTTAACATAGCTACTCCTCAGAAACAGATTATCAGGACTGGAATAAAAAATTTTTACATGTGGGAATTAGAGTCATATGAACACCAAGATCCGTCACAACCAATTCAAATCAATTTTTATGTAAAATACTCTCCTGTCCAAGGCATCGAAGGAATAAGAGGGCTTGACATCTATGATGATCCTCTTCATATTAAAAAACACAGCAATATGGAAAATTTGATAAATACATACCAGTATAGTTTCGAACTATCGAATTTCAATGTAAGTCATCTTATCTTGTAAAATCATTAACGAGTAACATTTTTTATTATTGCTTTACAGACTTTATTCATGATATTATCGAAAATTGAAACTAGTGGAAATGGAGGTGATTTCTGTCGAGCCGGTAGTATTTGCCACTTATGTGTGATAATAAAGCGCATGGTTTCTCTGTCTAATTTTACTTATCTACCACAATTAATGTATGAAGTTTTAACTGATCACTCTATGTGGGCAGTATGTGGTCGTACTGCCGGAATTCTCACACTTAATGATACTGATGAACAGAGCGTAACATTAGATGTTATGCCATTAAAAAGTGGTTATTTACCATTGCCAATAGTACGTTTGTCTCGCTATATTGCAGCTATTGAACCAAAAAGCGGTGAGTATTGTTCAGAGTGACTCTGTCATCTACATTTATATTTAATCAGCACTAATGCCAAATTCTTCAATGTGCTAGTTACTATTCGTCAAATATACTTTTTATTGCTAATTGAAAAATAACTTTTTTCAACAGACCCATTTAAACATGTAGAATGCAGTGGACCAAAACTGGAACCCTTTAATGTTGGTCAAGTGTATAATGCAAGTAAATCACAACAAATCTACGTATTACCAGCTGCATCAATTGAGTTTTATTGAAGCTACATTTGTGTAAAAAAATGTTGATATATTTTACGCTGTAAACGAGACAGCAGAATAAGATGAAGCATGTTACAAAGAATGCAGATACAGAAAGGATGAAACAATGCCTAAATTTACAATGCAAATAGCTACATAGAGTTTGAATGATAAACAATTAATCAGTTTATAATATGTAACTATAAGATATTATCAAACATAAGAGTACTTTGTATATTATTAGAGAATCTGAATCCATGTTTTGGTCTTAGATGAATTTATTATCATCTTATTATCACGTTTTCAGGAGTGTTGGAATATCTAATTTTGACGAAGTTCTTGGCAGTTACTACCTCAAAGTAAGTTGCTCGTGGTTCAGTCAGTACAGTCAGAGAATACTATTAAATATCATTATTGCTTTATTCATAATATATGAAATTGAAAAAATTTCGTTGCACAAAAATTGAGTAAAAAAAGAGTTTCATGGAGTAATGATGTATGGTTTTTTTTATCAAGTTGGTGATCAAAGTTTTTTATTGCTATGAAGTTCTCTCACTAACAGATTATAAAGTTGGTAACAAGTTATTCTTGCTTAAGCATAAATATACAAATAATAAAAGTATTTTTTAAATAAATTTATATTTTTTTAATAGTAATTTGTAATTGATATGTACAAAATATCGTGAAATTTCATCAAAAGCAGCCTCCTCTTTCTGGGCTGTACAAAAATGTGCACCCAGCATAAATGATGACAATGATAGAACTACAAAAAGTCTTCAAATTATTAAACGCCAATTATTTAAGTTCAAGAATCAACAATAGTTGAAAATGTCGAATCAATAATTACCGATAGGCCCTTTTGTCATTGAGCGTGATTGAGCCACAATACTTTATAAGATTACATTGTATAAATAATAACTAAATAAAACATTAACTCGGAGTCTTCAAGAAACGCCACTGTCGACATCGAGACATTATAGACTCATTATTGTTTAACAAATTAAATTAAAAACTGTATTCACCGTTAATTGATCTCTGATTATTGTTAATTTATTCTAATGTTGAAACTGTTTGTATTACGTTACTACAACCAGCGGAACAAAGACGTACGCTGAGAAATTTTACATGAGAAATGATCGTAAAACTGTTTATCCTAATAGTTAAGCTGCGTGCAAGAAAACTTTGTAAGATTTTGTCATGAACGGCTGCCTCGTAAAATACCTTATAATTCAAATAAATAAAAAAGTAATATCAGTGCTCTGCAGTGGTCTGGGTGCGACCCGAAAGGTCCACATGACCAACTTCCCAGTGGTAAAAATAAAAAAAAAATTATGCGTTAGAAGAATCCAAATACATTGCATAGATCTCTATTTTCATTGTTTATAACAGATTTAATTGTTATAAACAAAAAGAATGAGTATCCATTCATGTCGTACTGTTGGTAACTTTTTTTTAGCAAAAGAAAAAATTACGCGTTTAAAGAATTCAAATATATTGCATAGATCTCTATTTTTATTGTTTATAACAATTAAAAAATTTTTTATTCAAATATTATTATGATCGATAATGATTCGTTATTAACAATGTTCAATCGTTATTAACATAATTTCTTATTATTAACAATAACCATTGACTATTTTATTATCCTCAACGCTATTTTCTCCATCCCAACACAAGTTTAAAATTTCTTTATTGCTGATTTCTTTTTTTAAAAATTTTTTTTCCTATGAAATACTGTCATCACATTTCTGTACAATTGTTCTAAACATTTGATATTCATATTTTTTAAAAGATCTCGAAATTCCGTCTAAAAAATGGTATAATTTATAAATTGCAGAATTTAGGTAGTTCACTATTTTTTCAGTTTTTTGATTCTGCATAAAAAATGGCTGGACCGATTTTGCTGAAAATCTAATCAGTTCTAAGTTACGTAATTACGCGTCGAATGCAGTTGGTCCCACGTCGATATCATTTTTTGTTCTCGAGATAATCGAGGCGAAAAATAATTCCGAACGCACATACGCACATACGTACATACACACACAGACGTCCACGTAAAAACTATCGTATTCAACTCTAGGGACCTTTAAACGTGGAGATATGTCAAAATTAGCGATTCGCAAAATCGGACCCATTACTATAACTTCCCACTGGGAAGTTAATAAATCTGAGAATAACTCGCCATTGTTAACATTAGAATTATGTTTACTTTTTAATTAGCGGAGTCGAGTGATCACCGGTGGTGACGCACCCTACGCGAGACTCAAGCTCTCATTTTTCTATTGTTAATTAATCATTGTAACCTTAAAGCTAGCCGTTTTAATTTAATAAATTGTTCAACGTTATTCTATAATAAAACTCTTCTTAATTTTAGTAGGTTAAACCCAACTATCCTCCTACCTGGCGCTTAAAATTACTATAAATTTTATTAATATTAATTTTATTTCATTAACGTTATATAAAGTATATCAATTTAATTTAAAATTGATTTCTTATTAACGACAGACACTGCGCTGAGGCAAAACAGTCGACGCAGATTGAGAATAACTCTCTGTCTATCGTAACATTCTTTGATTTAAATAATTAGTGTTCAATGATTTTAGGACTTTTTGTAGTTTTATCATTATCATTATTTATCTTTCGATGGTAACCAGCTTACTTCCACGGATTTGTCCTCGTAAATACTATTTGACTGGTATGAGAAGTGAATTAAAAAAATTGCTTTACAAAAATTCAGAACTGTTGTTTTTCCAGCTAATAGCAAAAATCTCTTATTGATTGTGAAAAATCGATGTGACATAATTACTGTTGTACGAGATCTAAGATGTTGATTCATTTTTCTCAAGCAATGAATAACGATAGCTTATGAGCTACGCCGTAGAATGTGGTCAGGAGAGGTGCACACACACAAAAGACACTTCTCTTGAGCTTGATTGAAATTTTATTATAAAAATGGATTATTTATTACGTTAACAATGACTTAATAACAAGGTTAGAGCTTAACTGAACTGTAATTGAGCTTAGTAAAAGCTGATAACAATAAATATTGTAAAAAATTTGTATGGCACCATCTAATGACTATTAGACTAACGACAGTTTGTTAGTTAACCCTTCGGAACTATTGTGTAAAGAGATTCTCTCACACTTTTTTTAAAACTTTTTTTTTTCTAAATTCAAATGGAATTACCCTCTGAAAATTTTTTCACCTTCCAAAAATTTAAAGCTCTTAACAATACGAAAATACAAATCTTCTTAAACTTAAAAAATAAAGAAAAAAAATTCTTTATTTGTTGACTGTGAGAGTTTCTCTCATCACGTTAGTTAAGTCAGGGACATAAAAAATTGCTATTCGTATGACTTTGTTTTATTTCGGCTATCTCCGTAATTTCTAGCCGCAATATTTACTCTATGTAAATATACGAATATACATTACTCTGAAAGTCGTGTACAAGTGTACCAGTATTTTACTATTTTAAATAACCAAAAATGTGATAATTTATAAATAATAATTGTTAGTTATATCCTAGTTTCTAAGTACTATTATTTATTCAGTGTACAAACGAAGAAGGTAAGACACATTATGTAATAATGTTTTTCTGCCACAAATACATACGTAACCTAAAAATATGTTTCAACTTGCGTGATTGTTTATAAATATTTACAAATTATACATAATATTATTGTTTAAATTATCTCAAATATTTTATTTTGAAAAATTTTAATAACTTAAATGAAAAACTTCTAACAAAATATAATAATTCGTCATTTATCACTTTTTGTAAACATCCACTCAAAATTTGTTATTTTTTTCACGTATTAATTGATTCAATTCATACATTGAATAACAAATTTCCATTGAAAATAACCAGGTTACGCAATATTGGACCGAGCTACAGATTTTGAAATGTGATACTGGTGTCCCCGATATTGATAAAATGTCTGACGCCGAATCGGAATTTAGTGATCATGACTCTAACACTGAGCAATCAGATGGTGATTCAGTAGATACAAATGACAACAATAATAGTTCGCTGGAGAATTAGAGTCAAAGGATTATAAAGTCAAAAATGAAAAATTTTTATTGGGAAAAGATAAAACTACAAAGTGGTTCCATGATCCATGTAATCAGAAAATACGCACAAAACGACAAAATATTGTCGTTCGTCTACCAGGAGTTAAAAAATGCGCAAAGGATGCAAAAACTCTTCTAGATTGTTGGAATCTATTTTTTCCTAATGAAAGTATTGTTCATAATACTAATATTTTCCTAGAAAGCGTACGTTTATCACAAAAACGTCAACTAGAAATTCAACCTACCTCAGTTGATGAAATAAACGCTATGATTGGATTATTGTACCTGATTGGAGTACACAAAGCTTCACGACTAAACTTGAAAGAATTATGGGCAACTGACGGTTCGGCTCCTGATTGTTCCCGTGCAGTCATGTTCAAGACACGATTCTGTCATTTATCATCAGCTTTAAAATTCGACAATGTTAACGATCGTGATGATCGCAAAAAATTTGATAATTTGGCGCCGATACGAGAATTTTCGGAAAATTTCATAAAAAGATGTCAAGAAAATTATACACCTAGTGCTTTTCTAACTATTGATAAGATGCTGCAAACTTTTTGAGGTCGGTGTAAATTTCGGCAGTATATTGCAAATAAACCAGCAAGATATGGTATAAAAATTTACTCCATGACTGACTCAAAGAAATTTTATACATATAATATGGAAATTTACTGCGGAAAACAACCACCAGGGCCATTTCAAAAGTTGCAACGCTACCGCGATCAGGGCAAGTTGCCTTAATCCCTGACCGTGTAGGTGCTAATCTACCCAACAAATTTACTTATTTAATGATTCTTACCTGTGGACGCCACTCGTTTTTTAGGCCAGAAAACGAGAAACCTGGGAAAGCTGGCTAGCTCTGGTTTACCTGAAAACCGCGAAAAAATACTCGCGAACACAAATAATCTTTACACCAATTGTATATGTTTAATCAAGGACTTTTATTAACGTAAAATTAAATTTATTTGAATTAATTAATGCAAAGAAAATTAATATCTCGATTAACAATTTCGTTAACGCGAAAATCTATATATTTAATTGATTCACAAAATTATACAAATATCAAAAATAATCGATTCAATTTAATAATAATAATAATTGGAATTTAATTGAACTTAATCGTGAATGAAATCAATTATAATAACCTACGATACCTATTAATGTGACTAAATAATAGTAATAATCACGCGAGAACGTTCTCGAAAGCATTTATTTCTTGAAACAAAGAAATTCCTCAGCGAGGAACAAGGACAGATGGTCCTAGACGAAATTACTGGTACCGGATCGCAAAACACATACTCTCTCTCTCTCCCACTTGCACACAGGGAATATAGAAAGGAAAGAGATAGTAGATAGATGTAGATGGTTTCAGCTTACGGAAGCTCCTCGTCGTCTAAGTATCCCAGACCCCTGGTCCAACGGGGCTTACTTCCTCGGCGAGACATCCACAAACTATCTGCGACTGGTACACTGAACAATAACTGGTCCTTTGAACAGGTGGTAAAGTACACCAACCAACAATGGACTAACTTCACCTCGCAACGTCGAGGGCTTTTTCAATAAATGTAGCCTAACTGGCACTTCACTGTTGCTCTCGCAACGTTGAGAGACTTGTTTTCATAATTTTATTTCAATTATTACTCCGCAACGTCGGAGAAAAGATGATTGCAGAGAATCAGAGAAGAGAACTTGACACCACGTGCTTACTCTTTCGACAACAACTCCACAATGGCGTCTTTATGTAAAATTTCTAGCCGGCTGACCACGTGGTGATGATAGCGCCGCCAAAAATAAACTATTTTGACCTAATTGGTAAATTAGGTCAATCAATGATCGACAGGTCGATAACGTATCGACCTGCTGAAGGGCTGGGTGACACTCGATTCACCCATCTCGTTACAGCTGCTCCCCTCTAGAGTGGAAGTCAGCCCTGTCCAAATAGAAATCTGGTTCAGCTCACAGTATGGTTCTGGTTTGACGTGGATATTTGGTTCAATTTGATGTAGAATCTGGTTCGATATATGTTGCAGTCAGGTCCTGTTCCTTCGTAGAGTACCGCTCCTGTTCCAGGTAAGGAAAGGCTAGAGAAAGGGATAATTCAATCATGCCTCGCATTCATAGTTAGTTTAAATTGGTTACAGAGGCCTAATGTCCTGGTTCTTCTACAGCTTATTTGTGTTCGTCTAATCGGAATTATGGAAGGTCTGGTCCTGTTAAATAAATTTTCTCAAAATTTTTTAAAAAAAACTAAACTTTTATTTCT